GCTTTCCGCCGCTCCTGCTACCCGCGCCAACGCCGCTGCTCTGATTACGCTGAACAAAATAATATCTCCACGTTAAAACATAGCATAAGATGCTAAAAAGTCATTGCAAAGCTAAAAAAACTAAGGTGATTGAACTTAAAGTTAATAAACTAAGTCGTTACTGTCCTATTTAGTGAGGCATTAGTCAGTAACCTGAATTCAGTAAACCATTATGTGGTAGCAACACAGGTAACGTCTCTTTGTTACAAACCGCGTTAAATGTCGGATGTAGAGCGTGTGAACGCGCTGATGCTCCGATAATGCGCCCGCGCACGTTACGTACACACTAATGAAATTAAGTAATTAAGAAATATTGCGTGAGGACGAGAGATTTTTGTAACAAAAGCTTTGTTTACTTTCAGACGTAATAAAAATTAATTAAACATACCATTTTTTGTAGAAATGTTATGACATAACCAAGTTGTTGTTAATTATGTAGGATTTCTAATGTAGAGCAACCTTACACTGGTCGAGAATCTGAATAATAGAAGATTTAGACGAAAGTTAAGTAAACATTAACGATGCTTTATTTTAAACAATTAAAATGATACGGTAAGTAATTTCGGTATCTAATTGTAGATAAATATTTCCTTCCCCATCAATATTAATGTCTTTTTTCATATCTTAGTATGATGTGAGGATGCAATATTCGCATTTGCAGATTATGATCTGTAGCATCCTATTTGCGTAACAAAACCTTATGTTTGCGTTCGCATGGTGTATTACCTAATTTTTGTAATTCATTACTCGCTTAAGCAACGCTATTATTAGTTACAGATATGCAAATAGCATATTTGTTTTATTGTAATTCTTAATTTAAGTTATAAATATCTATGTAATTGAAAAATTTATATGATGTTTGAAAATAACCAGAAGTAATAGGTTTATTTTCTTACTTAATAAATGCGATAGTTTAGATATACAGATGTTGTTAGAGTTTTCAGCCTAAACTGCTAAACGGATCTCGATGTAAGTTGGCATACTTAGTCTACTTACTTTTGTTTGTTTTAATCCACGCGGACGGAGTCACGGGCAAAAATTAGTAAGTGTATACAAGCGAGCAAGTCAAGTGGTAACAAGTAATGTTCTCATGCTTCATTCACGTCATCTGGAATGTCAAAAATGTTAATGGCGGAGTAACGTTATGTCAAAATAGTGTAAACAGTCCTTCAGATGGTATCACTGCGTGTTGTACGTGCATCTAGATTGCGCACGCGCAGCTAACAACTGTTTAGAGGACGCGTTAGTAAAGAATGATCTGGAAACCAAAGTAACTCAGCAGTTAGAACTGTCAGGGAAATTGGGGCACGCTTATTACCAGGTTGTTTTCATTTTATGTGACCTAAGATAATTCTAATATCATCAAATTGAAAGTTATTCTAGGAATGAAAAGAAAAGTAGATAAAGAATCAAATAAACGAAAGTATTTTGACATGAGTACCGCAGCATATGTTTTGGGGCTGTATTCGTCCGTCTTTTGTTTGTCAAATAAGTCACGAAAACTGATAACCCTCAAAGTATTTGTGACGTGCGATCGCCGACACATTTTGCATCACGCCTTCACAACTCATTTGCAAACAATGCAAGCTCGTTAATTATATTTTATGTTTTCGACGAGTTATTGTTTATGTGTTTAATTATAATCGTACATCGTTGTTACGTGTAAATAATTGCAAGTTATTTAGGTTCATTTTTTCTGAAATAAAATAAAACTTCTGATTGCCAGCTCGTCCCTCGCTATTCAAATAAGTATGTGCTTTAATAGGTTTTAGAATATGAAACTGTAAGGTATTTAGTTAATACGTTAAACTGGAACGCAGAGCAGATTTTGCAACGACCTGTCAAATACACTAATGCGTGTAAGAAGACCGACAATAAGGCGCCACAAGAACCAACTAACATAGACCGTTTAGTTTACGACTTGTCAAAAGCGTCTCCTTCAACGTTGAAAGGAGCTAGGTATCAGTTAACAGTGGTTTCTTAGTTGAGGACACTTTTGTCTTCTCCGGTTTAGTAATGGTGTTTACACAATATTAGTACCAACTACACGCCTTACTTCGCTTTCGGTTTCATAAGCGACACTAAATTGTTAATTTAAATCATAAATATCTTGTAACTTTAAGTAACAATGCTTAGTGTAACAATATAGAATTTTGTTGCGATTTACATGTCTTATTTCGTTTCGATCAATAATTGATCACACAAAAGGATTGAACTATAAAAGCACATCCTGTATCTATAACAATAAGCTACGTCAATTCAATGGCAAATTGAATCAGGATTACGCGGTGAACGTACTGTATATTTTCCTATACTAAACGTACAGTTTGCACCACATTTTGGCAAATTGAAGAAGATGGTTGCTTTATCTGCAGTTTTCTTTAATTGGCTTAACTTGAACTTTATCTAAAAGGGCAGAAGATGTTGACGTTGGGAGTTCTAACTATGGCCGCCCTGAATACGTGGTGGATTGTGACTACTACAATTACAGTCATGTCATGAATTGAGTCATGTCCCATAGGGTTGCATTATTGTTATTATCTACTCGACTCGATGACCAAGTATACTCAATTGCAATTCCTGCACTAGTTTCAGTGAGTGAGTGAGGCAAAGAAAGACTTATTATTTATTACTGACCTCAAAAGGTTATCAATTCAACGTTATTTTCTTAGAACATAGTGTAGTAAAATAATACGTAACAAACGAATAGAAGTAGCTCAGAGCTGTTAAAGCTTCTTAATTATCTGCATTAGTTAACACAAAGAATATTACGTGTACAAGATCGTAGTTACTCATTGTGCGATGCGAGCCGCGTAGTTACGAAACAACGGACTGCGCTTGTTTGATCGACCCGAATCTTACACCTGTGTAAAGTGTGGAATGAGCATCGCTCTGCTCAAATGAACAAGTTTTAATATAAAACTTACCACAAATAACGAATACCACAAATATGAATGATTAGGGATACATACAAAGATAGAGGAAGACAGAAGAGAGTATAGATGGACTGTGGAAAGAGGATATGCTTAAGAAGAAAGGGGAATGAGATATGACAGTTATGATGACTTTTTAACGTAAAAATTACAACGAAATGCCGTGCTCTTTTGCTCAATGTAAAAAGATCTTGTTGTAAAAAGGTTGAGAAATATAAAATTAATGGAATATTCAAATCATATTTACTTATTATCATACTAACACCATTACCTACAAACAGTATGTAATTTTGTAATTACGCAATGGAATATTAGATACTGCATAATTTGAAAATGACATTATCTACTTACAATTTACAAATAATTTTATGAACCTAACGAATTCCTAATTATGTCGGCCAACGCGGCACTTTGATACATAGTTATCTTGTCAGATATAAATTAGTTTTTTGTTTATATGCGTTTTAAAATTGACATACTAATATTATAAATGCGAAAGTTTAGATGGTAGGATGGATGGATGGATGTTAGAGTTTGTAGCCTAAACGGCTGAACGAATTTCAATAAAACTTGGTATAGACGTAGAGGATAGTCTGAAACACATAGGCTACTCAATTTTATTTTTAAATAATTCGACGCGAATGGAGTCGCGGGAGAAAGCT